AGAGATCACAAGTAGGCAGAGAAGCAGGCAGAGAGAGAGGAGGAAGCAGGCTCCCCGCTGAGCAGAGAGCTCGATGTGGGGCTTGATCCCAGGACCCTGGGATCATGACCTGAGCCGAAGGCAGAGGCTTTAACCCACTGAGCCACCCAGGCACCCCTAAGATTTTCTCTAAAATGATCAATACTGAGTAAAGATTAGCAAAGTAACTACTGTTTTTTCAAAAAAGCCTTGGAGCACCTGGCTGGCTCAGTCGCAAGAACATGCGACTCTTGATCTCAGGGTTGTGAGTTTGAGCCCCAGGGTGGGTATAGAAATTACTTAAAGAAATCAAAGTTAAAGAAATAAATATAATAAAAACTTTAAAAAGCCTTCACTTGGATTAAAAGACAAGAATGAGGATTGAGATCAAACTCCCTTGAAAAATACTATGAATATTGCAATTCCATCTGAGGAGAAGATAAGGAGGGGAATATTATAAAATGTATTTGTGCTCTTTTCATAGCACTGATGAGAAGCAGGTAGTTTTGTGATTGGTTGATCCAGGAGCCTCCTTGCAGGCATCATTAAAATCTGCATGGATTGCATGCTCTGAGCAAACACCCCGGGCTTCTCAGACCCGGTTGCATTTCACGGCAAGACTTAGTGTCTCCAACTCAGTCTGGCAGCCTTGAACTTGTAAACCCTCTTTGGAGTTTGCCCCAGCCCTTCTGAGATGCTGTCTTTTTTCTCTGGACAGACAGGGGATACCTGTGCCAGAGCAGCTGGGTGTGATGTCAAGGAAGAGGGTAAAAATTCTTTTTCAGCCATAATGCCAGGAAAATGCTCTTCCTGGTGAGGCTGAGAGCTCTTGCTGAGGATTTCCTCATTTTTCTTCCTTCTCCAAAGAGACCTGTCAGCCTCTCTGCAAATGGCTTCTTCATAGCCAGGATTCCTTACAAACCATGGGTCGTAATGCCGAGCAGCTTAATTTTCTCCACCACCACCACCGCATCAAAGAGTCTTTCTGCATCTTAGCTTCAGGAGGAACATCTGAGGGCTGTGCGCCCCACCCCCCACCGCCATTTGCAGCATCGACAAATATTCTGTAAGTATCTTCTGGTGTTCTGATCCCTGAGTACTCCAGGGCAAACTGGTGGTCTCCAAGGCTATGTCTGATTCCTACTTTCCATTCACTAAAAAATAACAATGTGGGTGGGTGGGTTTTTTTTTTTTCCTGTGTACCTTCTTTGGTTCAGTGTCGTGGGAAAAATAAACTGTTGGTGAAGATTCATCGTCATCTACTGAATCACCATCATCACCAAGGTGCAGGTACTGGTGATGCTCAATATCATTCTCTTGACCTTGTCTTTGACCTTGCACTGGGAAATCTCCTTGTAAAAACTTTTCTGAGCAAGGGAGCCCATAGTCTCATCTGAGATATGATCTTTTCCCTCTCCATATGTGACCTCTGCCTCTGGGTTACTGTCGAGCTCACCCAGCAGGTTTTCTTGTCTCTCCAGCTCTCCCAGGCAGGCCCAGTGTTCTTCATCCATAAGCAAAGCATCCTTGGACTTTACGTCATTTTCAAAGTGTGACTTTTGGGTCTCGAACGAGGTTTGTGCACAATTTGGGGTTTTCTTTTCAATACAGAGTTGTTATGAATGTGTTTTCTTATCTCAAAAAGTAAAAAGTAAAGTAAGCTAGAGAAAAGAAAGGGTTTTTAAGAAAATCATAAGGGAGAGAAAACACATTTATAGTACTGTCCTATTTATTTTTTATTTATTTATTTATTTATTTATTTATTTATATTATTTATTTTATTATTATTATTTATTTTAAAAATCCACATATGGGGTGCCTGGATGGCTGTCAGTTTGGTGTCTGCCTTTGGCTCAAGTTGAGATCTTGGGGCCCAGGAGGGATCCCCACAAGGCTCCCTGCTCAGCAGGAAGTCTGCTTCTCCCTCTTCCTCTCCCTCTCCCCTTCTTCTCCCTTATCCCTCACTCATGTTCCTTTCTCTCTTCTCTCAAATGAAAAATAAGGGGCGCCTGGGTGGCTCAGTGGGCTAAAGCCTCTGCCTTTGGCTCAGGTCATGATCCCGGGGTCCTGGGATAGAGCCCTGCATCAGGCTCTCTGCTCAGGAGGGAGCCTGCTTCCTCCTCTCTCTCTGCCTACTTATGATCTCTATCTGTCAAATAAACAAATAAAATCTTTTTAAAAATGAATAAATAACATCTTTTTTAAAAAATCCACATATCAGGGGCGCCTGGGTGGCTCAGTGGGTTAAGCCTCTGTTTAGGCAGAGGTCATGATCCCAGGGTTCTGGGATCGAGCCCCACATCAGGCTCTCTGCTCCGCGGGGAGTCTGCTTCCTCCTCTCTCTCTGCCTGCCTCTCTGCCTGCTTGTGAGCTCTGTCTGTCAAATAAATAAATAAAATCTTAAAAAAAAATCCACATATCAGTAGACCCACACAGTTCAAATCAGAGTCATTCAAGGGTCAACTGTATTTACTGATTCCCTACTAGACTCTAAGTTCCATGGGGACAGGGACCATGGATATTCACAGTGGCTGCTCTTGACCAAAGACTCACAAAGAATAGTCTACCTGGAAGAAGAGGTCATATAAAAACCCAAATCCCAATTTCTCCTAAAATAGCAGTAAATAAGGCTTCCCTAGTTAGGAGCACCAGCCGGTGATACTGTGATTTATGGTAAGAAATATATATTTGATCTTCTTCCAGTTCCTGGCACAGAGCTCCTGAAACTTTTGGAGCTCCTTCCCTTCCTTCCTTCCTTCCCTCCCTTCTTCCTTCCTCTGTCCCCCCACTTCCCTTTTCTTTCATTCTCTCTCCCTTTCTTTCTCTCTCTCTCTCTCTCTCTCTGAAATAAAAGTATATTGAATGCACCACAAGGGAGCAGAGGGCACGACAGCAAAGGAGAGACTGTCTGCTTGGAGTTTCTTAGGGGATGAGAGCTCTAGGGGTGTCTTTTCTTATTCATAATAAACCCCAGACAATCACACCTGTAACTGCAGGGTGTGGGTAGGCACATTACTGGTGGGGAACCCCCGTTGCTTCCTTTCCTGCCCTGGGAGAGGATTTCTTTCCCTCTGGCTGGGAGCTCTCTTGGTCCCCACTGTCAGTATGACCCAGAAGACCTTCAGCATGGACACCAGAAGGAGCCAGCTGGCAGACTGCCAGTCCCATGGGGAGCTAAGTCAGAGCCAGGAGTTTTTCTGCACTCTGCCCTGGAAATTATTCCAGGCGTGGAACACCTTGCAACCCCCTCTAGAATTCAGCGTGTGTTCTCATCTTAGTGGCTGGTCCTACTTATGCCTTTTGAGGAGAAACAACAGCTGAGGTGACCCACCCCCTGGAGTAACCCCTTTTCTTTTTTTCTTTTCTTTCTTTTACCTCCACCAGAAGAGAGACCTTGCCTTAGAGCCCCCTGAGAGGGTGCCTGGTTGGCTCAGTAGGTTAAGCGTCTGCCTTGGGCTCAGGTCATGATCTCACATCGGGCTCCGGGCTCAGTGGGGAGCCTGCTTCTCCCTCACAAGCCCCCTGCTTGTGCACCCTCTCTCAAATAAATAAATAAATAAAATCTTAAAAAAAAAAAAGAGCCCCATGAGAACTGAGGACCCACTTCACTTCCTTGGCTTCCCTCTGTGGCTATGTCTTGCTGAGAAAGTTCTAGAATGAGTTGAGGAGAGAAGGGGTGGTAAGGTGTGATGGTTGATTTCATGTGTCAGTTGGACTTGTCCAAAGGATGCCCAGATTCAACATTATTTCTAGGTGTGTCTGTGAAGGCGTCTCTAAATGAGATTAACGTTTGAACCAGTGTATTCACTGAAGCAGGAGACCCTCCCCAAAGTGGGACATTGTTCTTCCCCTGCCCTTGGACTGGGCTTTCCACCACCGGCTCCCCTGATTCTCAGGCCTCTAGACTCAGAATGAGCGACACCACTGACTTTCCCGGGTCTGCAAGATGGTGGGTCATGGATCGCTGGGTCCACCGCCTTGCAGACATCTGGCAGATCACGGGACTTCCCAATCTCCATACTTGAGTGAGGCAAGTTCTCATAATAAATCTCTTCTTACATATATCTCCTATTGGTTCTATTTCTCTGGAGAGCTTCTGATTAACATAGGGACATTAGTCTTCATCTGAGGGCTTTGTGGGGAGGGCTTTGTGGGCAGCACAGAGCAGAGAGTAGGCGTCAGGCCTTCTGGAAGTGCTCGGTGATGGGGGTCAAACACAGGTGGGGCAGGGATGGGACACACAGAACCTCTACAGGGGCAGGGACTGGCCAAGGAGGGGGCCAAGGACCGGGGGACACTGACATACTTGCTCCCCAGGGAGACTATTGTGAAGAGGAGAGAGGTCAGAAAGGCTAGGGCCAGGCATCTGAGGACCCGATGGGGGGAAAAGGCTGCTCTACCTCTGCCCCCACCTGCCCTGGGCCCCACCTGGGCACTCCCACCCCCAACAGCAAGTCCCTTCTGGTGCTTCTTTCTCAGAAGCTGTGAGCCACAGCTACTTCATTCTAGGAGGAAAGGGGACTGGGTTTGGTGGAAGGGAGCAGCAGGAATGTGGAAGGGGACAGAGTACCGCACTCACCCCAGGGCCACAGCATTTTCTGCTGTACAAAGCAGGTGTTTTCACCACCCTCAGGTTATGTTCTCTCTACTGTTTCACCAGGCATGTAAATTTGGACAAGACCCATATTATTGGGGGGTTCAGCTCCCTCAGGAGGACGTTGAGGTTACCCTACCTCAGACACCCAACCTTGCAGGCTGGCCTCCTGGGCACTGGCCCGTGAGATTCCAGCAGGTGCTTCCTCCCCGGACGCTTCCAAGGGGCCAAGGCAAGAGCCACAGAGGCAGCCGTGGGACCGTTCCCCAACCGACGCTGCAAATTCTAGAAAGTTCGGGATAGTGGCAGCCAGGAAGCAGGCCTGCAATGGCTCCACCCCTGGGAGGGCACAGGAGGGTGCTGGCCCAGCCCTGAGAGGGCCCCAGGAGCCGTGGCAGCACAAAGGAGACAGAGCCCAGCACGTCTATACCATGTCCTGGACTCCTGCCCTGCTGGTACTCCTCGTTCACTGCATAGGTGAGAACACCCCAGAGCTTGCCACCCCCAGCCCCATCCCCTGCCCTTGCCTGCCCCAAATACCCATGTGTTTCTGTGTCCCCAGGCTGTGGCTCCCAGCCAGTGCTGAGCCAGCCGCCATCTGTGTCCTCATCTCTGGGAACCACAATCCACCTGCCTTGCACCTTGAACAGAGACCACGATGTCAGCGTTTACACCATCTACTGGTACCAGCAGAGGCCCGGTCACCCTCCCAGATTCGTGCTGAGATATTTCTCCCACTCAGACAATGACCAGGGCTCCAAGATCCCCCCTCGCTTCTCCGGATCCAAAGATGTGGCCAAGAACACGGGGTATTTGAACATCGCAGAGCTGCAGCCTGAGGACGAGGGGATGTATTACTGTGCGGTGGGGTTCCAGGACATGGAAAAGGTGAGGGTGATGAGGAGGGAAGAAAAGGAGCCTGCTGCTCCAGGGTCCCAGGCACCCCAAGACTCACATACCGTGATCTAAAGACAGACGGGCATGCATCCTCAGGGAGAGGCGTATGTGGGCAAGGAGGAAGGCTGGGGCGATGAGCTTCACAGGGCCGAGGAGAAGAGTCCTGGCTCAGCTTTTTCCTGTTTGGCAGCTTTGCTGAAACCCCGCAAATTCTTATTGTCCCCCTCCCCTCTGCCCCCGGAAGGCCAGATTGGGGGATTAAACTCGCTTGTGTCTTGCACAGTTGTTCCACTGAGTTTGGTGCGCCTGGTGTGCTGAATTGTCCTGGGGAGGCCGCAGATGTTCTGTGAAAGGTCAGAAGGAGTGGGATGCACCCAAGAACCAACCTAGGGTGAAGGTCCCAGGAGACTGGTGGCTCACAGTCTACGTGACCCCAGTCTCTGCTCTGGGAGGTCCTGGGCGGGGGAAGGGACTGCACCTGGGGAACATGCCTGTTGAGGATGGGATGCTGGATCCTGCAGGGGTTACAGGGTGAGCAAGTCTCTGGGGGGTCGTGGGCACCAAGGGACAGGTCGGGAGCAGGTGCTCCAGCCCGGTTCCTCTGACATTCGAACACGGTTCTCTGTGGTGAGGCTGTCCTGTTGAGCGGCATCTCTGACCCCAACCCAACAGATGCCCGGACCTGCGCCTTCCCGCCCCTAATTACAACAACCAAAAATGTCCCCAGACATTGCCAAAAGTCCCCAAGGTGGCAAAATTACCTTGATTAAACACCACTGATGCAGGTGAGAGAAATGCATGGATTCTTTTGTGCAAGAGAGTGGCAGCGGCTGGCAACTATTTTCTATAAAGGACCGTATAGTAAATAATTCGGGCTTTCCAAATTACTGTGACAGTGGTCACAGATAACAAACACATAAATGGATAGGTATGGCTGTTTATTATTAACTTTATTTACAGAAACATAGGGCCGAGCCAGATAGTACCAAACCTTGCTGACCCATGCTCCGGAGGAACTCTCCTGCTCCTGGGTTTTAGTCAAGACACGTTTGGTGAGGCAATTAAGGTCAACCACAAGTCCTCCTGCCTGATAACTCCATGGAAGGCTCTGGACCTGGGGAAAAAACCTGGAGGCAGGGGGAATGGCCTCACCAACAAGTTTACTGGGTGAAGAGGAAACAGTGGGTGCCTTCAGGCCTGACCTATTGTGCAGCTCACTGAGTCCCTGGGTGGTGGGTCAGGACGTACCCTGCAGGAAGGGACCCCCTATATAGGTAATTAGGGGGGACATGCCTCCTACTCAGAGAGGTGCCAGGCAGACTATCCATCCTATGATCCCAAACATGGGTGAGAATGTCCATTTCCCAAGGGGCCCCCCAGAGAGGTGGGCGCATGTCAGTACTGGCCCTTCCACCAGTGTAAAACAATGGCCTCAGCTCATGCCATGTCCTAGGTACCCTCTGAGTTTCTACTTCCTCAAATGCACTGTGTTCTTCTTATTATTGTATTATTTCCTTATCAGTCACCAGGCCTGGCCTTCCTCTTTGTCAAGTCCTTTCCTTTAGCCTGAGTCATTTCTCACCTCGGCCATTATCTGGCTTCCTGCCTGTCCCCACTGCTCAGCCTGTACCCTCCGTTCCTCCTCATTACTCCCAGATCCAGCTTTGCCTGCACTCCTCCTCTCTAACTAACCTTTTGTCTCCCACCTTCAAAGTCACCTATGCAATCCACATCTGAACTTTTTATTTTCTATTGGCTACATTTATTTAAAAAGGTAAAAAGAAACAGGTGAAATGATTTTTTAAAAGATTTTATTTATCTGACAGAGAGAAATCACAAGTAGGCAGAGAGGCAGGCAGAGAGAGAGGGGGAAGCAGGCTCCCCACCGAGAAGAGAGCCTGATGCGGGGCTCGATCCCAGGACCCTGGGATCATGACCCGAGCCGAAAGCAGAGGCTTTAACCCACTGAGCCACCCAGGCGCCCCTGAAATGATTTTTAATAGTGCATTTTACTTAAGCCAGTACATCCCAAATGTTATCATTGCAGAATGCAGTCAATATAAAAATTAGCTATGATGGTTTTAAACTTTTTTTTCCCAGTATGAAATCCTCAAAATCCCATGTGTGTTTTACACTTGTGGCTCATCTCAATTTGGACTGGCCACGTCCCCAGTAATCAACAGCTGCCTGTGGCTTGGGCGGGAAAGTACAGATGGAAGGGGGAAATTCAGACTCTTTATCATGACGCAGTCTTTGGAGGCTGGCCCAGATTTGGTCCCAAGTCCCATGTCTTATACATCCCCCCTCCCAAGTGTTTCTGCTGCATTAACTCTCTGCAATTGATCCGATACCTAATCCTCTTGGTTGCCTCCAACGCTTTTTCCAAGCCGTTCATTGACAGACAGGACTTCCTGACCCTTTACAGGATCCTCCAGCTGGCGTCCCAGTTCAGGGTTCTACGAGGATCTCAAAACTCCCTCCTCAGGCAATAATATTTCCCTGACCTCTTAACGCAGTTACCAGCTTCCTGCCGTGTGTAAACATTGTGGTTTCCTAACTAAGCGCCCACCACACAGATCTAAGTTTATTTTGCAACTCTCTCTCCTTAACTAATCTGCAAATTCTGCAAATCCTGATGGGCAGGATCCATTCCATGCGTTTGATGTGTCTGATAAACACAAGGAGCTGACAGAGTTGGGCAAAGAGATGAATGACCAGCTGATGGCACGACCAAAGGGATTCCTGAGTTCCAAAGACCCTGCCATTCTGGGACTCCTGGAGATGGCTGGGGTCATTGTGATTCCCTAAGAAGGGAAATCATGTCACATCAGTGACTGGCCACATTTTGTCCTTCTGTCTGTCTGTCTGTCTCTATCACACACGCATGCACACGTGTGCGCGTGCGCACATAACACACACACACACACACACACACACACACACACACACACACATCTCTGATGCCTTGCATATGAAGCTGGTGATTTATACAGCTGCTGGGAGCGTGTGGGAAGGAAAGGGTCAAAATAGGCCAATGCAGGGAAGGGAACATTTGGGGGAACTTTCTGAATCAGTAACAGAGGAGAGGGATGTCAGAAAGGGTGTGGTTCCCAGATTGTTGGGATCTGGTGCTGCATCTCACCCCCACTGCCACCCCTAAGCATCTACAGCACCCCCAGCTGTGATACAAGATGAGAACCTGGGGTGCTAAGAACTGTGGCCTGTGCACAGAATTGCTTGGCGCAGATCCCAAATTTGACATAGAAACACAGAACCCAATGGGCTTGGCTATGGCACCAGTGGTACTGAAGATGGAGGACCCAACATTTTTGACCTGAGTTAGACCCTGAGACCCCCCCAAATCTGAGGGAGGCCCAGGGGTCTTGGGAGTGGAGCATGCCAATCAGACAGAGTGAAAGTGCAAGGGGCTCTTGGAGCATACAGAAGGCCAGTGTGACCTTGACATGGTTTGGCAAAATGAACTGAGGGAGATGGCTCCACATAACAAGGGGGGATGGTGGAGTTAACAGGAGGACACCCATCAGGATATGGAGTGGGGGCCCTTGTATTCCATTCTAAATTGTGTTTTTGTGATGTAAGCACAATGCCCTAATCCATTGGTTCATTACTGGATGCAAGCCAGGGGAAGTTCTCATTCCTGCATTCTTGCATTCCTCCTTGCCTTTGGTAAGAAAATATCCCCTCATCAGTGATTCAGTCCCCAGAGGAGCTATGTATAAGGTAAAAAGCAAGATAAATGTTTGATCTTTTCCCCTCTTATTTACCGACTGTCAATAGTAACAAGTCAGTGTGCCAGCTTCTTCCAACATTGATTTGCTAGTGTCATGATAAGCCCATGGGTATAAGCATATTTGAGGTGTTTAACTCCATCGCCAGTAGTTCTCAGGGAAAGCAAGGGCCCCAGGAAAATAGCCAGACAAACCCAGACTGCAGAATGCTGGAAAAGAAAATTGGCATGGACGCTTCGAAAAGTGAATATCAGGAAAGAAAAGGTGTAGACCCTTACAGATGAAAAGAATCTGGAGAGATCTAACAAGTAATGAGAACACAGTTTATACAGATTAGATCTTCTCAGGAGACCAAACCAAACAAAAAGTAGTAACTATAAATAAAAGCCATCTTATGGACCATTGTGGAAATTTGACTGTGAAGCAGCTATTAACTATTTCGGGATTATAATAATTTAGATGGGATCAGGATATTGTGGCTTTTTAGGAGAACGTGTCAAGACAACTGCAACTGAATTTTTCCAAACTTTTAATTTTGAAATAATTATAGATTTACATGAAGTTGCAAAGTAATGTACAAGGATGGTCTATGCACATTTTCCCCAGCTTTCTCCAATGTTAGCATCTTGCGTAATTATAGTACAGCATTAACACCAGGAAATTGACATTGGTATAATCTAGAGCTTATTCCATTTTTTCCAATTCTACCTGCACTCATTTGTGTATGCGTGTGTGTGTGTTGTGTGTGTGCGCCTATGTTTTCACGTGTGTTATCTTTGCACGATCACCACCAAGCAAGATATTTAGCTTTACCATCTACCATCCACCATCTACCATCTCTACCACAAGGCTACTTCATGCTACCTCCTTATAGCCACATTCATCCCCTCATTCCTCTCATCCCTAACCCCTGCAAGCATCATTCTGTCCTCCATCTCTTTAATTTTGTCCTTTTAAGAATGTCATAGAAATAGAACCATAGTAGGTAACCTTTTGAGACTGGCTTTTTCCATTCAACATAATTCCCTTGAAGTTCATCCAATTTGTTGCACGCATCAATAGTTCATTCTCTTTTATGGCTGCGTAATATTCCATGGAATGGATTACCACATTTGTATAACCATTTTCTCATTGACAAACATTTGGGTAGCATCATATCCAAAAATTATTTTGAAATACCCCATAGCCCTAAGTAGAAATCCTAAAACCATAAAACTTTTAGTAGAAAATCTTTGTGACCTCGAGTTAGGCAAAGACTTCTTAAGTGTAACAGCAAAAGTACTGTCTGTCCATAAAATAACAGGTTGATAGCTTCATAAAAATGAAAAAAAAGTCTGCTCTTCAAAAGACACTGTTAAGAAAATTCAAATATAAGCCTCAGACTTGGAGAAAATATTTGCAAAATATATACCTGATAAAGGGTATATGTAATACATAAAGAATATACAAAGAACTCTCAAAACTCAATAATGAGAAAACAATCCATTCAGCTTTAATAAGGGAAAAGTTCTGAACAGATACTTCACTAAAG